AAACCTGTTATTCTTCTGTATCGCATGGCAAGAGATACTGAAACTCAGTTCAGTGTCGGGGGCAGAAGCATAGGTCTGTTTTTAAATGGTATACTCAGTTCCTGAAAATCAAGACACTACAATACCTATGTGTTGTGTAACCTTTTGCAATGAAATATGAAGACAAATATTCTGTAGATACAAACTATTACATGAAGATAAGATGGTAAGCTGTTTTTAATCTGGAGACGTGTGCTTGAAATGCTGTCAAGTTGTCATGTTGAGTGTTTTAAATATGATACTGGGGAATGGGATAGATCAAGATGGACTTGCTATGTTCAGCATTAAATCTAAGCATAGAGAAGTGGTGTTTTTTTCACGTGGTAAATGACTTTTTTCCTCTAGTTTTGTTTTTCTTCCTTTTTTTAATAGCTCCCTTACCTGTTCTGCCCAAAAGCAGTGCAACTTAATTACTTTCTTGGATGACCTGCTGGGTAAACAGTGTGTAATACTTTTTTATCCATTGAACTATTGGATCATTGTGGCTTCTTCATCTTGTTTTGGATAAGGAAAAATCTTTGATGCTTTTTCAATGCCTAAAACTAATAGTATGTTTGATATTCATGACAGTGTAATATTGAAGGGAACCAAAATAGAAAATTTTGAACTGTTATGGAGGTTTATGAGACAGCATGTGGTTAGTGTTCCAGAAAGTGTGCAGGTGTATTTCTAGGAAGAACAAACAATGCAGTCATCAAATGTTTTTCCTAGTCTAGAAGTCTTGGCCATCTCATTGCAGTAAAATACTCCATCTTAGCAACAGTTGCTATGTAGGACTACCTTTTTAGGCTATGTTGGTACCATTTTAAGACGTTAAGAGCTCTGCAGTGTTCCCGCTGATTCATCTTCTACGCTTGTGAGACTTGACTGTGTAGCTTAGGACTTCCATTTTACATAGAAAAATGATTAGTGAAGGTTTTATTGAAAGGGTGTCCACAGAGTTAGAAACTACCATCAGCATAGCCAAAGAGGAAATGAGGCTTGTGCTTTGTGGATTTCTAGTGTGGATGATCTGTCCTTATTAAGCAGGAAAAAAGATAACAGTTCTGGGCATATATCATAAAACCAAAAAAAAAGCTGTATAGAACAGCTTATAGCAGTACTGGTGCTACACCAGGGTAAGTGTAAAGTAAACAGGAACCTTTTAGTGTGGGGAATCAAGTGTGTTTGGCTGTCTTTGTGCTTATTCTGGTTCACAGCTGGCCAGAGCCTGGCGAGGCAGGCTGGTCAACAAAACAGCCAATGTTAGTCCATCTCTGCAGCATCCTGCAACTTCTCTGTCCCTTTGATAATGGCGATTTTCTTAGAGCTGCAGTAGGAAGAGGCAAGTGGTGGATTATTCCTTTTGTTTTCCTGTGTAACTGGTCTGTCCTGCTTACTTACTCAGTGCTTTTTTGGTATTTGATAGGTCTTGTTTTTCTTTTCCTTCTAGTGCTGCCTGGAAGTTAGAGAGGGTCCTTAGTGTGTTTAGTGATCACCTGTCAGGATCTTCCAGTTGATATCCAGCTAATGCGCGCATGTCTTGGTAAGCTTTGCCATCAGAGCCTTGAATTGAGGCGAGGAGCCGTACCCGTTGTGCGGCACGTCTTAGTAACAGTTGCTATGTACGACTGCCTTTCTAGGCTGCAGATACTGCTGGAAGAAATACAAAACCTCTTCCAACTCGCACAACGGATATTTTCCTGCTTAAAAAGCTTATGTTCATGGATTCCCCCCTCCCTTTTTTCTTCTCTCCTCACCTCCCACACAGTAGTACTGAAAATTATATATATAAAAAAATAATCTTTGGCTGTTGTTCTCAGTGGTTTTGTGCTCTGCTGATGCCGAGTGTGCCTCTTTCTGTACAAGTTAATGTTTTACAGGCACTTAACCATGCTTGACGCAAACATTGACTTACAAGAATTTCTTAAGGAGAAACATCCATAAATGTTACACTGACTGTTGTTTACTGGTATTTTCCAGTGTTATTGCCTAGACAAGTAGAAGAAAAATGAAAATATGTGTAGTTCTAGAAATGGAAAAAAAAAATGATGCCTCACTGAGGTTTTTTAGGTATCACATCGCACTGCAGGTGTAAGGCCTATGTCCGTTTCAATGCTTGCTGTCTCACAAACGATGAAGCTGGCAATGAATGCTGTTTGTAGATGCGTGACTGTTGTGACCTCCTTTTCTAAAGGAGAGCTACAACCTGCTTTGGGCTCTGACAACACTTAATGTCAAAATGGTGTAATTTGTAATGCTCATTGTTAGTGTCAGCTGTCACAGAACAAACAAGCATAAAAAAGAAAAGCTGACTCCCTCTGTCCCGAAGATCTTGATATCATAAGTGTGTGATGAGAACAGGGAGGTGGTGGGGACATAGGTGGAATAGTTCTTAAAAGCTGCGGTCACCACACACAGATTGACCAGTCATTTTTGAGGCTTTTGTATGCATCCTGCAAGAGGGGACTTGTGAAAAGGGCTTTGCATGGATGTAATTCAGCTTTGGATTTTGGTAGGAGTTGCTCAGAAATCAGGAATAGGATGTGAGAAATTTGGAGGGGTTGGAAGAGCTGGAGGATGGAGGTTTGTGGTGTTGGCTGAGTGGGGTCCAGGTCTACACTAGAAGCTTGACAGGAACTTGAACCCTCTTTTGGTATTGTTTCTTCACTAGCAGTAATACTAGGTTGAAGTGCTGTTACGGCCGTGAAAGTTAACTATTGGGCCTGGAAAAGCACAATGAATTATAATGAAGAGTGTTTCTTTTTGCTGTAGAGAGATCTCAACAGAGAAAAAGTTTGGCACATAACTTTGTGTTGTCTGGATTTAAACCTGGCTGATGTGAAGGTCCATCTGTGTAAGAATTGTGTGCTGAAGAGCTAAGATCTTGTCTTCAAGTGGCGTTGGCTTATAATACAGCTCTCTGTAGTTCTCAAAGTGGTGCCTGGCATGAAAAAATACAGTATCTTGCAAGCAAGCAGGCATAGCTGAAACAGAAGTTGCTGTCTTCCTGATGGTGGTCGTTGTCTTGAGCTGTGTTAGTCAGTATGTGGACACTCGTAATTTGGGTTGCTGCAAAACCAGTTGCATTACCTTAAAAAAAAAAATCTTTGGCAGTGCTTACATCAAGTCAGTGTATTTCCAGCTGTAAGAACAATGACGGTGCAGAATATTTGTGCCCTTAAAATGGCAGTGCACTAATAATCACTGCAGAGTGGTTTTGAATGACCATGAGGAGAGCAAGGTGGCATTTTTTTTTTTTTTTTTTCAGAGATCACAAAATTGTGTTCAAGAGGAAGACAGTAAATGTTTCGATATCTGTCTGGCTTTCCCCTCTGGGTGAAATAGGAATTGGAATTGAAGGAGGTTGCAATATGTAGATGTTTGAGCAGAGAAATGTAAAACAACTGTTTGTTTCGATGGTGTTGGCCCATGTAAATTAGTTTAAATGTAGAAGATTAATTAAAATATAAAAGTATCTGTAGGGAGTAAGAGGGGGAACCTGATAAAGGGGAATTGTTTTTACCTACTGTTTCAAAACAAGAGTTGCCACACTTGACTTGTGTTGCATCGTAATTCATACTCAGCAGTCTTATTTTCATAACTGTTTATGATTGAAATTCCTGGTTTGAAAGCTCTTAATTTAGTTACTGCAAGAACCGATTTTTCTCTTTTTAATGTTTTTACCTGCTTTTAAACTTCTATCAGTCACTAACAGCTGTATTTTGATTATATGAAGTAAGGAGTGAGTAGGTTTGTCATTGCATGTGGGGAATATTCACTAAAGGATACTGGGTTGAGTTTAAAGGGCTGAAGACAGATTTGGTTTTGAAGGTTCATTAAAAAAACCCAAACAAACTCAAAAAAGAGTTGATCCTTGGCATTGCACTTGGTCAAAGAGTTGAGTGCAAATAGAGTTAGGAGAATGACTGGATATATGGCATTTTAGAGTTCACCAATTCAGACTGTAAGGCTGGAAGGACTGGATTGCTCCACATCCTGTATTTTGCAGACTGTTGAACTGCAGCCAGTTTCCCCATGTGCTGAGCATAAATTTTATTTGCCCACTTGTTTGACTCTTACAAAAGTCATTAAAATGTGTAAAAAGACACTAATTTCAGGTGTGCATTCTCTGTTGGGCTGTAGCGACAGGGTGGGAGAGGGTATGTGCTTCCAGTTTACAGATGAGACCTGGATGTCTGAACAGAGCAGATGAGCTTTGCATTTCTTTTGCAGATAAATGGAAGTTTTAATATTTTTAAGTAGCAAAATTATCATTTGCAAACTAAGCTACACAAGAGTAGTTTGTGATTTGTTAGGCTAAAGTGAGGGTGCTTGTTGAGAGAAATATATGGAGCACCAGTTTTATCTTGGAAGGCATGTGCATGCTTAGGTACACAGCGTAACCTGCTTCAATGACTTTTAGTGTTTTTAATGCCCCAGTCGAGATAATTGATGCTGTATTACACCTGACTTCCCTCTTCTGTTTCGGGTTGCTGGTACTGTCTGGCCTTGTGCTGACCTGAGGTTCAGTCCTATTTTCAAAGAGCCTTTGCAGGCTCAGCACGGGTAGATGAGCCAGTGGCCCCCAAGGCAAGCAGAGATCTGGCAGGCGTTGTTCCCTTCGCCTCCGTTGCACCTCAGTTTCATGCATTTCTGGGGAGCTTCTGTCTCTGGGATGATCTTCGTTGGCAACATTTACCAGTGGTTTCTCTCATGGTCTATCTGTTTTCCTTGGGTCATTCTCACCTCAGTAGTGAGAAGAGGGAAAGCTATATAGTACATGATGGTTTTGTTTTTGGTTTTTTTTTTTTATTATTGAAGCATGTTGGTATTTATCTGTTTTCCTCACGTTACAATGGAAAGTAGAAAAAGCTATTTTTGCATCTTCTAAAAAACAGCCCCCCAATCCCACCTAAGTGATTACTTCAGAAACTTTTCATTTCAGTAAGAATTACTTAATGTGGTCACCTTCTTTACAGATGATGACTTTGATCAGTTTGATAAGCCTGGTGCAGAAAGGTCTTGGAGAAGAAGAGCTGGAGATGACGACTGGGACAGGTAGGTAGAATATCTTCATGTTCAGTTTCTGTATGCTGAATTACACTGCTCTGTGTTCCCATTCTGGCATTTTGTATTCTAACATTTAGATAGCACACATTTAGATACTAATGAAGATGTTGGTTGTTATGCGTGTGTCAGCCGATGCTGGATTGTGCCAAACATGTACTTGCCTTGAGGAATATAGAGAGCACTGTGAAGAGATACCACTTAAAACTGGATAAATACAAAGTATTTATGGTGTGTAATTAACTCTGCAATTAATGTCCTGGTTTTCCTTTTAAATATTAAGTAGATCTCAATGGTTTAAATAGTTAGATTTTGCTAGTATTTGAATTTGCTCAACTTAATTTTTTTTTTTAACTAGATGTTTAAATTCTTATCCTCAAAGTCCTCCTTCAGTTTTACATTGGGCAAGAGTAATGGAGCTTAGGTATAGGCTTCTATTGAAAAAATATGACTGTTGTGAAGATTTAGAAGTATGTATGAATTTGGTTATTTTGGAGGAGAATAAGAGCATATTCTTTTATGTGAAGGCACTCTAGCTGGGAAAGACTTGAATCAAGCTGCTGGCTAGACTTGTCTATTCTTTCTGGGAGAAAACTTTTCACTTTTTTGTGGGGTTGCTTTTTTATTATTCCTTTTTAGCAACAGAGAGACTTGTTCAGACTTTGCCAGTGGTTTTCACTGTAAAAAGGGGGAAAAAACATTCCAAACAGATTTTTGTCTTTTCTAATAACCATTCAAGTGATTGTAGTAAACAGATTTTACCCAAAGTAGTTTTCCGCTGAGCTGAGCCCTTGGAGTGAATCAGCTACTCCACATTTATCGTCATTCCAGAGGGATTAGTTTCCTCTTCTGTGCTTTTCTGCTAGGTTAAGTAGGTAGTTTTCATTGCTGTAGGAGGTGAGTAAGAGTGAATAAGGAATTTGGACAATAGCTTCAGTGTACAGGGTGTTCTGCCCAATGCTGCTGAGGGGTGTCTGCTCTCTGTCATGCCAGCACAGCTTCTTTGTGGGTTGGATGGCGAACTGCATCAAGGAAATGATCTGGTTGGAGAGTGTAATTAAAATAACTTGTTCAGCCTCGGTCACTGTACTGTGCTGCCTCCCAGCCCCAGCTCTGGGTATTTGGAAACACTGAAGACAATATTACAGGTGAAATGCTTTGTATTAGAACATTTTCTGAACTTTTTGCCTTTGCTGACTTCATGGTATGAATAGGTGGGCTCTTAGATGCTGGCTGGTCACATTTGTTTTTAGCTGTCCCACTCTTGCCACTTCAGAAAATTTGGAAGAGTCAAACAGCTGTTGTATCGGAAGTTGTAAGCTTATTGCCAGTGGTTAACTCCTTGTGGCAAAGCTATTTTTATAGGACTTGAGAAAGGTTATAGAGCATTTTCACTAAGCTGAGACTTTGAAGCACACAAGGATTCAGTTTCAGAAAAGTTTTTGTTTGTGTTTATTATTAATTGCATATAATTTAAAATAGGTGGGCAAAAATCATATTGTTTATTCTTTAGTGAAATTGTAAGGGAAGTGGTTTCAGGTGCAGTGCTGGAGATTCCAGAGTTTCATCTTGCTGATCATTTCAGAAAATGTTTTTTTGCAACTGTATCTAATAGAATATTATTTTATTTGCACGTGTTGGAATTTTTATTTATTTATTTTTATTATTATTATTATTATTAATTCTTTTCAGATCGCCAAGCTATCTTTGGAAGTGTTAAGTTCTATGGTTGTCTGGGCAATTACAAATGCTGTACATAGATATATTGTTGCCTGATGTAATTGCTTTAATTTTTTTAACTACTGGCCTAATTCAGTATAGGATACAGTTTCTTGAAGATGGAAAAAAGGCCGAATGAACACAGTAGACTTGTTTTTTTAATCCTTCATGCTTTGTTTTGCAACCTAAATCACTTTTTGTGGGGGAGGGTGAAGGAGTTATGCTGTTAGTCATACATCCTGATCAACCATCAACTCTTACTGTATTGCTACTTAACTGAGTACCATCCCCCAGTCATTTAAATAATTTTGAATTTGCAGATCACTTTCCTTTCTCAGGCACTGGAGGGTCATAACTGAGAGCTGGAAGGCCCCAGTTATTTGGGAGTACAAATGTAACATTGTTCTTGGAGAACTTTCCCCATGACATTTTTTTTGCAAATTCTTTTCCTGAAACACTTGTGTCCTTGCTACTGCTCATGTTTAATGAGGCATGCTCATGAAATTGGAGGCCAGAAAGGGCCAGTCTGACGTCTTTATCACAGGCTGTTAATTTATACGTTTATCTCTATAAGTAGCCCAAGGCTTGGGTTTGGGAAAAACATGCAGGTCTGGTGCGATCCTGTGAGATGACAGGGCTGATTTAGTAGTTGACTTCTGCTGAAATTCGCTTGTTCTGACCCTTCTCTGAGATTATTTCTCTACAGTGGCAGAAAACTTTCCACTTGTTGTTGTCTTTCTTTTTTATTATTATTCTCTTCCTCATTTGGTGAGCTGATTTCATTCAGTGAGGGGAATGTTGAGTATTGGGAGTTGAGGAAGGGGAGGAAATGGGTCCGTCTCTTCTGAGAGCAGTGAACTCTTAGATAATCTTAACCCTAATTTTCTAGAATTGTGGTTTTGGAAAGACCTTTGTGTCTTGATGATAGTGAGGGTGAGTTGTCTTCGGAACTATCACAGATGTGTACTTTTATTCCAGTTTATTTTGTGTGGCTTCATGTGGTATCAGATTGCAACCATTCGTTTTTGTCTGTTTTTCTCAGCTAACCTAAGGTCTTTTAGTATCTGGGTGGGTGGGTTTTTTTGTGGTTTTTTGTTTTTTGTTTTTTGGTTTTTTGTTTCACTAGTCAGATCTGGTAATTCTGGCCCCTCTTCTTTCTGATAGATAACTTCAGATTTGGCTATTTTAAAAGAAGCTTGCTTACTTTGCAGGCTTTTCTCTATTACTTTGTTTATTCAAAAAATTACCAGTGGTGATTTTTCTTTTTTTAATTTATCAATGAAAATATTGAATAACATTGAATATTTTAATATGTTTTGAGGGACATTCTGTGAAACATTTTTGTTTCTGTTATGAGCTTCATTTATGTGCTAGTGTGAATTTTTTTGACTGTCAAGTAATAAGCCAAAGCTTTTAAAAAAACTAGAATAAGTGATTACTTCTATTGACCAAATGTTTAATCTTTCAAAAAAAAAAATCGCATCGAGGATATTTTTTAGTAATGTGTTGAATAGCCCTAACTATGTTTAGATAATTAATTTAATCTTTCGCCTTCTTTTCCATTCATTCTTGATCTGGATTTCTTACTGCCTGAACTTGCTTTTCCTCTGAATGTTGCTATAACACATACTCTTGCTGTCTTTTGGAATTTCTCTAATGCGGCTTTATTAAAAGCTGTCAGTGGTGGACCATAGTGCTGGGAAATATTTTTCAAACCTTTTGGTGCATTTGTCAGATTACTGGCAGCTGAAGAGATTAGTGACTTTTTCCTGCTTCAATTTTGGCTCTAAATTCTTCTGAAACCATTTCTGTTACGTAGAGTTTTCTGTCTCTGAAATAAAGGACTTAAGTTCTAGTCAGTTTGCTCTTTGGGATGTATGAAATGTCTTATGTCCCAATTTTTGTTTAATATTGCAGTGAGCGCAAAACAATTGCTTTTTGTTAATGTTCAGTCATTCCTGGAACTGTTTGAGGTAGTAACTATGAACAAATACTGTGTATGGATGATAACATCCTATTTAGTGCTGATTTGGAATATCATTTAGCCCACAAGATTTTTATTCCCCTCCTGTATTGTCTGTACAGTAGCCAGCTCTGAAAGAGATGTTTCCGTCTGCTAAAACAACTTCTAGCACTGATTTATGTCTTGGGATTGGCTTCCCCATTCTCAAGTACTTCCTATACAGTCCTAAGGAACTCTTATACACATTTCCATTCTGTTCATATAGCCCATTCTCACTTTGGGGTATTTAATTTTTATGAGTATCTAAGGCTTTTTTTTTTTTTTTAAGGTGTGCAGGGAGAAATAGGTTCACATTCTTGAAATACAGCTCATATTTCAAATCACTGGCATCTCATTTTAGTCTTAGGATATGCATGTTCTAATATGTGCATTTGTCAGTAATAAGTGTTTATTCTAGGAGGAGGAATCTGTTTACTCCTGTCACTAGGTAATTCTTTCACTGAATGAAGAATGAGATTAAGCAGTTGTGCTAAATCTTAACTAATCTGGACTGTAGTTCTTTGTGTTGCATCCTATTTATGGGACAGGTGCTACGTGATGGCAGAAGTTTTGTAAGCCAGGTATTTCTATGCTTCCGGAATTCTTAGCCACACTTACAAAGATGGTGAAACATGCATTCGATTTTGTCATCCTACAAATGTCTGTTTGACCTTACCCTCAACTTCAGGAGGAGGGAATAAAGTATTTATGAAAGATCTAGGCCTAAGTGGCTCCCAGGCCAGCTGGCCTCCCAGCGCCTCCCTGCTGAAGCGCAGCTTGGGCCACATGGTGGCCTGTAGACTGAGTCTTGCCCACAGGACATTACTGTCTCCCTTGCTTTTTCCCTCGAGAGATGGGAAACAGCACTTTGGACAGCATGCCTAAACAACCTTGAAGGGAAGGATCTAGAGTGGGGACCTAGCTAACCATGTTTTAAATGCCTGCACTTTGTCTAGGTTGATGTGCTGTGTTACAGTTGGAGGGCTATGGAAAGGAGAGCATATGGAAATGAAATGACTGCAACAGTAGTCTTATTTAATATGTATGGTCTATTTTTTTACTTAAAAACATATATATCTCCTTTTTCAACTTGCTGAATACTTTGCTGAAAGGAAAGCTTTGTGCAGACTCAGTGATAATTCTCCTCAAATTAGTTTTTTAAGGTGTATACCCTATATGGTGTTTGTTTCTATTTTCTAAGGTTCAGCTTCTTAAATTTGTTAATGTTTTTCAGTGAACTTGATGATGACTTGCTTGGAGAGGATTTGCTAACTGGCAAAAAGGTAAGAGATGTGTATTGAAGTGAATTGTTACAGATATTAAAATGTGAATGTTGTTCAACTTACCCACTTACTTCAGTTGTTTGGTATAGCCTTGTACCTATTTTACAGTCACCTCCGCAAAGCCTGACAGCCACAGGTACCAGAGATCTGCCCTGTTGCCAGAGCGCTCTGCCCCCAGAGCTCTGTTTCCCTTTGTGACGTACCTCCAAGTGTGGCTTTTTAAAATAAAACTTATAGAAAAAATATTTTTTTTCTGAGGTGACATTTCTTCTGCTACCATGAGGTAACATGGTTCAAAAAGGAGATGGTTCTCAAAATCAGTTTCTCTGTAGCTCGTATTGACTTAACAATTCAAAACAAAACAAAAAAAACCTAATTATGCCTCCTGAGTGCTGATTAGCGTTCTGGAGAATTCAGTTCAACTGCCAGTTTCCTGGCTATTAAAAGTTACTCATCAAAATACCATCAGTATTTACCAAAGAGTAAATAAAAAAGCAATCAGTGGTGTCTATTAAAGATCTACTCACTGCACGCAGTCCACTACTACTTTGTCTAGTGAGTAGGCAGAGGATATCCCCTTCTACAGTGAGGGGAGGGTATGGGAGCAGCTGGCATTGGAGAACAGAAATGAGTTCCCCCATGTCTGCTGTGGACACCTCACTCTCATACCTGTTTCCAAAATTGAACTCTATGAGAACAGCTAAATGTGTATTTGGATTTGCCAGATATCTGCAGGAGAAGACAGGGCTTCTGTTTGGAAATCAAAACTGGCTGGTCACCGCTTTCTCCACTTCATCTGCTAACTGAATTAATTTAGAAAATAGTTTTTAAAGTTTTAGCTGGAGATGAATAGGTTTAAGAAACCCAGAACTGGTAAAAGTTGAGTTTTAATTGATGTAGTTTTTTATAATCACACTCTAAATGTTGGAAGTTAGCTTCTTGAAATTATTCTGTAAGTAATCCCTATTAAAGTTAGGAAGTTCCTGTGTCTCTCATACTGGTTTAAAAAAATAAAATACCGGGAGGATAGGGATTGCAGATGTGTGTTATGCAATTATCAAAAACATAACCAGTTAACATTGCATACCTCTTTATAGTTGAAACATGAGTTGATAAAGCCACTTACTTATCTTAAAAAAAATTATCTGTATGAATACTAACCAATACTAGATTTCTCCAATGTATTATGTGTTCTTGTGCTTTTTCTATTATTGTTTGCAGTTTGCCATGTTACAGGTCTCTGAGCAGTACCTGTGGGTATGGAGTCATGTGATGGAGTAATAATAGATTTCTCCGGAAGTTTTCCCTGAGCTATTTAGGCTAAACTTGCTTCTACTTAATCTCATCCCAGTCCTAGATAAATCTACCCTTGTATAACCTTTCTGCCCCTACTACTTTAGAGGATGGAAATAACATTGCTGAGAAAAAAAGCAGTTATCTCTTCCTAGTGGGCAATTATTTAAAAAAAAAAACAAAACAACTGGAAGTATGGTAGACAAATTAAGGGGAGTTCAGAAAAGGCATGATATTTTCTTCTTTTTTTTTTTCTTCACTTACAAACTAATATACGGTTTTTCAGTTTTCTTCATATCATCATATCCTTTCCTCCAGTCTCCTAAGTATTTCTGCTTCCAAGAAACTGCAGTAACTTAGTGGTTTTTCTTGAGTTGCCTAATGTACCAAGGTCACAAGGCAGTTAAATAAGAGCACTAAAGCTAACCTTTCTTCCTGGTATTTTAAGTGAGTTGTTGTCTTTGGCTATATTTGGGACTGTGTCAGTGAAAAGCGTTGATAGCTAGGCAAATTTGAGTTTTGTAAATTTCTGTAGGACTGTCAAACATTTTTCAGATTTGTTGTCTTGTGTAGTGTATTTTTTTCTCATCAAATTAGGTAATTTCATTGAAGATATGATCTCTAGTCTGGGATGCATTCTTCATAAAAATACTTAGTGTTCAGAAGTTTTAGTAGTTTCAGTACCTAGTTAAAAGTTTATATCCTTTTTTATATTCATGATTGACTTTTTCTGAAACCTAGAATCAGTCAGACTTGTCAGATGAAGAGCTGAATGATGATCTTCTGCAAAGTGACAATGAAGAGGAACAAGAATTCCGGTATCTCTTTTGCAAGTCTTGTGTTTTGAATAACTCTAAGCTACTAATGACTACTACTACTGATAACTAGTAACTACTAAACTGAAGTTATTGGTATATACTTAAATAGTTTTGCTTTTTACCTAGTCAGCTACTTAATGATGTATATATAATGTCTTCAGTAGCATTTTTAACATTTCAGTAAAATTTTTTTGTTTATTCAAATCTAATAAATTTAACTCAAATCTCTTAAAGTTTATAAAGAAGAAACAGTGTCATCTCCTATGTGTTTAGAATTATTTATAAATACTTACAGAGCTTTTTTTCTGTGCCTTCTTGGTATTGTTGTCAGCTTCCTTTTCTGCTATCTTTCTTTTAAAAATATATCTTAACTCCTAAGACCCTGAGGAGGGGAGCTTCATAGTTTGTAAGGCTTGATTTGTGGCTTAAATATTTGTATGCAATTACACAGCAGAACACAGTTCATAGGGTTGAGCAGGTACTTCCATGGGAGTTTACTGAGGATCTTGCCCTGTGAATACCCTGTGGTGATACAGCTCCACAACTGAATTATGGGCATTACAAGTCATAATGAGTGTCTTGACGTTTTTACTTTTCAAGCTGGACTGAAGGGGGAAGGAAGATGCTTGTGATGCAGTACCACTGCTGCTTTTAATGGCCTGTGTGATTTGCCAGCTTTTCCTTTACTTGTTGCATGCTATGCAGGCATGTTGTCTGAAGGGGTATGAATATATATATAACATATATGCATATGTATATGCTCTGAGAATTCTGTTCTGTCCCTGGCTGGAATTAGGATAAGGAGTCCTGTCCCTGTGTTGGACTGATAAAGGTGTAGTGAAATACCTCAGGCCATCAGTCTCTCCATTGGCTGCTGTTTTCCTCCCTGCAAGAGTGAGGATTGGACTGTTCCCTTCAAAGTGGGGAATCCCAGTTACAGTCCTTGCTGTTTCTTCTCTGGATTTCCTCCTTGTGAGCCCTGGGCAGCAGGGATAGCTATGTGACTGCACGAGTGATGAGAAAGTATCTAAAGTGTGATAATATTGCTCAGTGGAAGCGGGTTTCTGTACACAAGTCTTGCATTTTTAGCAGTTTTATTGCCAGGGAGTGAGAGCGTTGCTCCGCTCCTCTCCCTTCTTCCTCTATTTCCATTCAAACTCATTTATGCCTCTATACTTGGGAGGTTAATGATAAACCTGCATAATGTCTTCGTTTTTGTGTTAAATCTCCGTCTTACAGATGCAAATAGCTCAAAGCTGACTGGATCTTGTTCCCCCAAACTTATGATAATAGTGAATAATAGGAATGCAATAAAAGAAAATTGTTTGCCTTGTACCCAGAGCCATCAAATCACGAAGAGCTTTTCCCCCCTGCTTTTATAAGTAGTCTGCAGTTGGTTAGTCACGCTTTTATGTGTTCATGGCACTAGCTATTGTAAACAGTAAATTCTGAGGTTTTGCTTTTCCTCCAGATTATAAACTTGCCAGTTTTTGTGTTGTTGGTTTTTTTTTTTAGTGCCTGTGCCAGTGCTGTTACTAAGTTAGAATAAATCTTAGGCATTTAAATGGCAGTTCTTGACTATTTTACATTATTTTAAGTAGAACATTAAATCTGTCATAAAAATGTAAGTTTCAATTCAAGAGAATAAAGAAGGAACAATATTAATACGTTTAATAAAAATTAATTTACTAGCTTATTCTGAAATACTGGGAAAACAGATGCAGTTATAGTAATTTTGTGTATTTTTTGTTAGTCTTTGAATTAAAATTGAGTCCAGTCTGCTTTCGTTACCAAGCAGGACTTTTGCCAGTTTGAGCTGCTAAACCATCTGGTTGGTTTGATTCCCCTGGTCAAATAGCCTGCAGCTGGTGATAAGCTGCGGTACAGTATGCATTATGAGAATATGGCATGGAATCAAATAGTGTGCGAGGTATAATTTTGTCCAGCAACTTAGAGAATTTGTATTTGTTGGCTTTGTTTTGCTAAATCTTTGTGAGTAGTTGACTGTTATGCTTCAACCTCTGAATTTCTTTCCCCCTATACCATAGTTCTCAAGGTGTCACAGTTAGCCTCAATGCTACGTCCAGCATACTCACATCATACGAGCTCTCTGAGACGATCAACGATCAATCGCTAGAGCATGAGTCCGAGTATGACCAAGGGGAAGATGAAATTGTTTATGACAGATCTGAAGCACCTGAAGTATATGCTTCAGAGTATGCAGAGGAAGGACATTATGAAGGCAATGATCCTGAACTGACAGAAGACCAAATAGAATATGGGGAAGAACCTGGAGAAGAAGATGAAGTGCTAGACCTTGAAATCAATGAACCCCTAGATGAATTTCCAGTGAGTTTCTTTCTATTGTATCTTCAAAGATAACGTTGCTTCACGTGCATAGGGTTTTAGACTGATTTGAAATCTGTTTACCTCCCTAGGGAGGAGGGGAAATTAGACCTATTATCACTGTCTGCCAGTTTCTTTATCTAGGCTGTGACAAAGTTTATGTTGACAGCTTGTTTGGCGGTAGGTAATGCTCCTTTGTCATGCTGGAAGGCAGTGGAGAATCATGACCTTGAGGATTGTATCCTTAAGGAAGAAAACAGCTTTGTGTGGTGGAGATACACTGCCAATTGTTAGAAGTACTTAATGCAAAAGCTTTTATCCAGGCTTTAGACAAGATCTGATAAAGTCCTTCGAAGGTGAAAAGATTATTGACCTGCTAAAGACATCTTTAAGGTGCTAATATCCCAAAGTGATTGATGTCCTGCTGGTTCATCCTTTTTGTAACTGAGAACTGTCTAAACCTGAATAAAGAGATTGGAGGTTAGTTCAGAAAATGTCACCTGCATAATTCAATATAATTTAAGCAGTGTATTAGAGAACATGCACTGGCTTTAATTGCTAGTGAAATGATTTAATTAAAACTGTATGTGATCAATAAGATGTTTTAAAATACAAGCAAACTTGGGAAGGATTTTGCTCTCGTTTTTTGTTCATAATTGTTCAGAATTAAACCCGTTTATGTGTGAGCACTTGCAGAATGTTTTAAGAGTGTTTATATTCTTGATGGGGTAAAATCTGATGTTAATGCAATGTGCTACAGGAGCATGTTTCCTTTGGTAAGAAAGTGCTACAATGTTTGCTCTATGAATTTGTAGTCAAAGGATGTAGAAGTACAGAAGTAGATGGGATCTTTATGATGACGTTGCTGGGATCTGAATGAAAACTGTTATGGTTTTGATAACATTGAAATTATTGTCTAGTTAAAAGCCCTGCTAATTATACCTTTGTGGTGGGTTGACCCTGGCTGGACAGGGGAGAGAAAATATAACGAAAGGCTCATGGGTCGAGATAAGGACAGGGAGAGATCATGGGCAAACCAGGCTCTACTTGGGGGAATTAATTTAATTTATTACCAATCAAGTCAGAGTAGGGTAATGAGAAATAAAACCAAATCTTAAAACCACCTTTGCCCCCACCCCTCCCTTCTTCCTGGACTCAACTTTACTCCTGAGTTCTCTACCTCCTCTCCCCCAGTAGAGCAGGGGGATGGGGAATGGGCGTCGCAGTCAGTTCATCACACATTGTCTCTGCCGCTCCTTCCTCCTCAGGGGAGGGCTCCTCACACTCTTCCCCTGCTCCAGCATGGGGGTTCCTCCCATGGCAGGCAGTCCTCCACGAACTGCTCCAGCGTGAGTCCTTCCCAGGGGCTGCAGTTCTTCACAAACTGCCCCAGCGTGGGTGCCTTCCATGGGGTGCAGTCCTTCAGGAACAGACTGCTCCAGCATGGGTCCCCCATGGGGTGACAAGCCCTGCCAGCAAACCTGCTGCGGCCTGGGCTTCTCTCTCCACGGTCCAGAGGTCCTGCCAGGAGCCTGCTCCAGCACGGGCTTCCCATGGGGTCACAGTCTCCTTTGGACATCCCCCTGCTCTGGCGTGGGGTCCTCCATGGGCTGCAGGTGGATCTCTGCTCCAGCGTGGACCTCCATGGGCTGCAGGGGGACAGCCTGCCTCACCATGGTCTTCCCCAGGGGCTGCAGGGGAATCTCTGCTCCAGCACCCGGAGCACCTCCTTCCCCTCCTTCTTCACTGACCTTGGGGTCTGCAGAGTTGTTCCTCTCACATATTCTCACTCCTGTCTCCAGCTGCAGTTATGCAGTTTTTTTTTTCCCCTTCTTAAATATGTTATCCCAGAGGTGCTGCCGCCATCGCTGATGGGCTCGGCCTTGGCCAGCAGTGGGTCCGTCTTCGAGCTGGCTGGCATTGGCTCTATTGGACATAGGGGAAGCTTCTAGCAGCTTTTCACATAAGCCACCCCTGTAGCTCCCCCACTACCAAAACCTTGCCATACAAACGCAATACAACCTTATATGATACATCACTTATAATTGACAGTTCTGATAGATACAGTACTTCTCTTCCAGTTCGGGAAACAGTAACAACGCATACAGACCCCATCTCTTAATGGGTTTGCAATTCTGTAAAGTTGGCCTCTGACTTTTCACCTTGTGTTATTGCCTTTAGGATGAAGATTACATGCAATCATATAATGAGCAAGCAATGGAAGAACAAGAAGAATATACCGCTGATGAGGAGCTGGAAGAATCCCAGACAATAACAAATGAATCAGAGGAGGTATGTTGTGAATTTAATGGAAACTTAAAATAACCAATTGTTTCAGAATTGGAATTTGTAGAATTGTCCATATTGCTGGGTAAGAACTGATGAAGCTTTGCCAATGTTGCATTATTGGTGGTATTACTCTTTGTGTAAGATTTAATTGTGATAGCATCTATATTGTTGGATACATCAGATCCCTTCTCCCCCTTGGGATGAAAATCATAACGGAGAGCTCAAAATGTCCATATTTAATCTTAGGTTCAACATCAGAAACTTCAGGGACCCTTTTGGTAGGAGAATGATAGTAATACTGCATGCTGTCTGTTAAATCTCTAATAGCTATGGTGCCTCGCTTTCCAGATGGATCATTTGCTGCTGTTGGGAATGTAGATACAGTTCTTGGGTATCCCACTTTGAGAAGGAGCAAGAGCATGGAAGGTTCTATATTTAGAAAGGCAAAGTTCAGATTGTTTGTTGTTTTGAAAGAAGTTGTATTGGGACTGAAATTTCTGTGAAGTTTGTCTTAATTCTTTGATTAGGAAAAAGGATGAGTTCCTTCATTTGCAAGAAGAAAGCCTATGCCAAAAACCATCAAGTATACATTCTCTGGTTATAGCCTGGAACAGTGGTATCATACCTGTTATTAATTTGCAGCAAGTTTTTGATGTGGGATTTTTTTCCTTTCCCCAACAGGAATCTGCTTTAATTTTGCTTTTATTCCACCTCTTAATTAAATAGGATTGAATGGATTACCTGCTGAGAAGTGTAGTCAAAATGTGTTCCCTCTTTGGAGCTTTAACTCATCAGGCAATTAATTCCTCAAAGACACAGCAGCATTCTTCTATGAAGTTCTAAAAAGTGGGTGTGCTGTGGTACTCTCTAGTTGTATGGAACTTATTATAATAAAACAACATTCTTTGGTAGGTGGAGAGAGATCCATTGAAAGGGGTCACCTGCATTGTTCAGTCTTTGCCTTTGCAAGCATGACATCTTACACCAAATATACCTTAAACATAGTTAATTTCCTATTTGCTAACTATTAAATCTACCCTTCCAAAGAACTGTAAAACACTTCGACACTTTTTGTTCATTCACTGGATTATATACGCTTTCCTTCTGGTGTTTTAAAAGCAGCCTGGCACAATTGTGCTATCTGCAGCCACAATCTGTAAGAAATGGAGGGCACCGCACATCATGTAAAATTAAGAACATAGCTGGGATTCACTGTCAAACTTACTGCTTTAAAAAAGCATAGCTTTATTTTTAGAGTATGAACTAGTGAGGATTCTGTAATAATCATGTTGTCTAAATTTGTCTGATTCAGAACTAAATTCCTGTCATTCAAAGGGTAACATTAATGCAAGTTTTTAATTGATTTTATTAATAGAGGTTTTAGAGAATTTATTCATCATGTAATATGAATGTTTTGGCCACATCTTTATTCTGTTAATGTACATTATGGCATTATTCTGATGGCTTGCAGATTGCCACAGGTTTCTTGTTTTTAAAATAATACCATCTTTTTATTCCTTTATTATTTCATAAGTACCTTATTTACATTTGTCTGTAGGCTCACAGTTGCACTCTCCAAATGAGAATACCACCAAGAGAGATAACCTTTGTAGAGTACGCACTTCTATTTATTACATGGTTAGATGTGTGCCTCTAGCTCTGAATAGTTTTGTTCTTTATTTGAGTGTTATATTTAAATCTTATAACATTCACTGCTTGTAAACAAGGGTAATTGTTGGCATTCTCCTGTAGAAAATGCAACACAAGAGTGGAGCTGTAATAGATGCAGTACAAATAAATAGCATTATTATTTCTTGATTGAAAGTTGGCATCTGAATAACTGAGAGCAAGCTGCTAGAGAAAAGGGTTTGGTAGTGTTGTATTTTAAGCAGTTTCCACATTAAAACCAAATAAAGCCTCTTATTATATTGCATGAAGAAATTTTGTAAACCAAGAGAAGAGCTGCCTGGCTGAGGAATTGGAACATGATGAGGGGAAACTGGTGAATCAGGGAAGCGAGAGACCTGTTGAGGGTGGCACTCGGGTGGGAGATGTGAGGAAGAGGCAGGAAAAGTTTGTGTCCTTGGCCAGATCAGGTTCAAGGCATGCTTTTTCACTTGATGTTTAATTTGAAACAGTGTTTAGATGGATTTTGAATAAATAACGTTCTTTGTGGAGCTTTCTTGAAAAATGTAGCAATGCTTCAGAAAATATTTTGCTTTGTAGCAAAACCCAATACCCAGAAGTTTCAGCAGCAAATAGGTGTGGTAAAACTGTCAGTTACATGAGTTACCATATCCTGAATATTTTTAGAGTAATAATATCACTAATTATTTCTACGAAATGTTCATAAAAATGTAACTTCCAAAAATTAGAATTCGTCATTTCTTTGTTTTATATTGGAACTAATCTCCTGTGAAATCTATGACAGGGGGTTTCCTCATTGCATAAATTTAAACCGTGTCTTGGGTTATGCTGGTAAGAAATTAGGAGGACTTTAATCAAGCAAATCATGAAGAAGTGCTGCACACTGCTTTTCTTTTGATAGAATACAGACTTGGAAAAAAAAGGCCAATGTGTCTGTCTGTTGAATTGTTCCATCTGTGTTTAGCCAAAACTTAGCATTTTAGTTCTTTTGTTCAAGTTAGAAGATACTACCTGTCAGCCTGGAGGAAAATGTTTCAGAGAGTGCAAATCAAAACAACAAGTTTTAAACACATTTAGAAGCTTATAGGTTTGTTTTTTATTCCTGTTTTTCATCTGTGGAGGTGCCCTTGGAATTGATGTAACATCTTCTTATCTGCTCTTTGTTATTTCTTGATCCCTTAGGATTGAGCAATTGCTGCTGCTTTAGTGTTAGCCTCTGGTAGAAGCATCCACTGCTTATTTTCTAGGTAGTTAATAAAAGTTCTTTGTTTCACCTTCATAATGTTTGACGTGGAAGGCATCTGGTTTAGCCTTCACAGTGCTTACCTGTTCTGTACATCGTAGCACTCTCTGGCACAAAACTCTCCTGAACACTTGACAGTCCCGTGTTTAGGAGGATCCTGTGCTAAGATCAGCATTTATCATGCTGACTAGTGTTTTCCCCTGCTTTCCTTGGGCTACGTCTGTTATCAGTCCTGCAACTGCACAGCAAGCTGTTTGGAGCAGGAGCACTCAGTCTTGCTCCATAGCAGATCATAACCCAGCGTGGGGAGTTCTGGTCAGTGACTGGGATTTATGGCATAATTATTTAATGAGGATGGCAGAAGAGACTGACCTTGTGATAGAAGAAAGGTCATTATTTTTCTTCATAAGGAAGAGTCGGCAAAGCTCTTTGGTAGCTTTGTGTAAAGTGTCATAATGGGAAATGTTAATCTGCCTTTGAGGACAGCTGCTAAGAAGCCTTGGCTGGCTAGTCCAGTCAAGTGACCTCAAGTGGCCGTTCAAGGGCTGTTTATGTATATTCAGAGATGTTCATGATTAGCAACTATTAAATAGAATCCTGTGAGTACTAGTATGTATTAACTCTATGTCTGCACTTGTGTCTTTTCCTGTATAAATCTGTTTTGAAACATAGAATCCATTCATATACTGTAATCTTGGCAAAGCACCTCATCCTGTTAGGCTGGAAGTTGGAAAAGATGATCTAAAGAAGTCTTGCATGCTACAGCTATTGAACAAATTGCGGGGTAAGGGTGTATGCTCCTACACAGCTCAGATAACCTTTCCTGGAGCTGTATGTAGAGAACATATGGTTAGCTGTCAGACATGTTTGTGTCTCCATCACAACTAATATAAATCCCTCAATAATACGTGTAATCAGACTTGGACATGGGTCAGTTAGCATTCTCGAGCACTGCCTTTCCTTGGTGCCTGCTTTTTCATTAGCTCCTTTGATTTTTTTTTTTTTTTTGTCTTTGATATTTAACGCTTGTACGGCTGTTGTTTGTTAATAGGTGGCATGAGCATTGTACTGATGAATTAAGTGAGTTAGACCCAGAAGACTACAGAATTGCCATAAGTAGCTAAGAATAGAATAGTTCTGGTCTAGAAAAGTTTGAGAAATGTTTTTTATTGTTGCATAGGAAAGAAGTCTTGTAGTCTGTTACAACTTGCTTTTTTTTTTAATAGATACATTTTTTTTCCCCCAGAATGAATAATTATCAAAAGGCAACAGAGTTTCCACAGGTATTTTCTGTAGCATTTCATTAAAGCATTGCAAAATTTTTCGGGACAATGCAGACTGCATTAACCATTCTAGTCTGAGCCACATGTAGAACCTTGTGCGAGTAAGTTTTGCACTCACAGATGAGATTACGTGACTGAGACGAGTTTTGGTGAATAAAAACTGGAATTCCAATGTAGCTTTTAAGGGGCATCGACATAGAGAGTGGATGTGTCTGGGGTTTATGCTCTGAAGTAAAGCAGGAGGCTCAGTGTAGTGAGAGAGCATGTCTTGCAAAGCAGCCACTCCAGTTCTGACTTCTGAATCTTGATCCTGAAGGGGAAGTTTTTAAAGACAACATTGGGACAGTAAAATTACAGGGTTTATGATATTTAAAAACATGGATTTGATAGAGAGGTTGCTACTCCTTTCTCTTTTGGGAGGCCCTATTTTGAAAGTAAAATGCTAACTGTGTCTTTCTCCCTTGTTTTTGTTTGTTTTTATTAAACCATGTTAGCATCTCTTTCCTTGCTAACATCCCTCTTCTGTTCCATGAGTCTCAACTGCCTGTCCTCAGAGGTGCTTTGATTATACACGGTTATGTTAATCAGACCAGTTGTGCTCAATTTGAGTTTGTTTTTGAGGTTTGGATTTCTTGTAGTCTTGAAGGATGTTGTGGTTTTTTTTGCGTGCTATCCTGTCCGTTGTTAGCTGCATTTTTTGATAGAATAAAGCTGTTATATAAAAGTAAATATATATTTTTTTTTTTTTTTTTTTAAATTAAAATTAAGCCTTAAAGCTTTTTGTAAACTTTGGCTATTCTCTTAGCTGTATCTTAAAGCATTTTTGTGAGGTCAGGAAATGTAGTGCTTGAATGTTTGCCTGGAATGGATAAAACACATTCTGAGATAAGGAGATGATAAAATTAAAATAACTTCAGATCAGTAGCCCAGTAACTAAGTATGCAGATCATTTATTCACCAGACCAAAGCTGGAGAAGCTTTGAGCAGGAGTTCATATGGTGTGCTGTCTTTTAAAGTAGAAACTGTCTTGCCAGATCCTGTCTCTGATCTTGCTTCCCATGTTTCTTTTTGGTTTTGGATGAAGTTGGGCTCCTGGATAAGGGAATTTGCAATCTCTTGCACCATTCTGCCATTAATTCTTTTTCTTGATTTGTGACTTAGTATCTGCTCACCTGACTGACACACGTGCTGTGCCTTTTTCATATGAATTACTGCACCAATTTTGTTAATTAGAACATTAAACAATTTTTTGCATGTTTTATTTCGCTCATTTTTTAACTGTCCTCAAGCCACATAAAAGTTATGATGTATTTAGTGGCTTTGCAAAGAATTAAAATGCATGTGCAGGCTCTAAGAAATGAGCAAGTAGGCTTGTACAAGAAATAACCAAATACACAGTAACCAAATATGTTATGGAAAATAGTACTATATTAGGACATTTAGATTTTTCAACTCTAGAAATCAAATACAACTTGTGTAACATTCTGAACATTAATTTTATCATGCCAGCACAGGAAAATGAAATTGACTTTTTTTTTTCTTTTTTAATTTGGAGGAGAGTGATCCATTTTCATTTAGGACATTGTTTCATCTAAATAAATGTTCTCTGTTATGGAGAGAACTGGAAAGTAAATAAGGACAAGGGAGTTGTATTCTAATATACAAGTTTAGTATATTCAAATTTTATCCAATCCTGTTCTCCATTCTCTTCATCAATTGCTGAATTAAAACTGGGAAGTGTTCAAAGAGTAGAAAAAGTAAAGACAAGTACAGTTATACATATCTACAGGAAAAAAATTGACATGTGAGGTTATCTGTTTTTTGTTGGTTTTTTTTTTTAACAACATGCTACTGACAGTTGTTATAAAATGGAAAAACAAAAGTTATTTAATGTTTGTATTACCTGAATCTGGTGGTATCCCAGGTTTGCACCTTAGTCAATTCAGTGATAAAATGTCACTCTGTGTGCAAAAGTAGCTACTAGTCAGATGGTGGTTCTAACTGGAGTTTACATATTCCCTGAAATATTGCAGCAAAATATGTTTTCTCAATAGATTTTGCTGTATAATTTATTATATAATTCAGATCTTTATATTTTAAAAAAATTCACCAAGCTCTTAAATGTTCACTGAGTTATGTATGAGAATAATGTATAATGCTAGCAAAATTTGTATAATGGGACCTTTAAAGAAAGCTGTCTCTTGACACTCATTGATCACAAGAAAGTAGATTTTTCAGTTTGCGTGTCCTCTATTTTGTGATTCAGGCAGCTATTGAATCTCTGGAACTTCAAGAAGAAGCAAAAGAAGAATCTGATGAAGAAGAGGATGATGACGAAGAGTCTGGACGATTACGTTTCAAAACTGAACGGAAAGAAGGAACGATAATTAGGCTCTCAGATGTGACAAGAGAAAGGAGAAACATTCCAGAAACTTTGGGTGAGGTTTTGTGGCAATGGACTATTTTGAAGAGCTGTAATAAAAGAAAGTAAAAGACAGGCTTGCCAAAGCTTTTAGAAAAGAGTTTAATGGCAAAAGGTAGAACGGTCGCCTTCTGACTTAGACTGGCCTATATCCAAGTTGTCCAAAGTCATATGTAGTCTGTTGTAGTACGTGTAGTGTCTGTCTCCTTGGGAGTAATGGTTAAGCGTATCATATTTTGAAAACCAGTGCAATGTTTGTTCATTGAGACTTTTGTCTTTAAAAGCTTTCCTGTTTTCAAGCGGCAGCTGTCTGATCCGTGCTTCACTGTGTATTGTGGTGGAATACATTTTAAGGAATTCCTTTGGACTTCCATCGTTGGAAGATTTTCAGTTGATAACACAAATCTTGTTACTTGTTCTGCTGTGAAGTACCTGCGTGTTTGCTGTTTTCCCCCAGGAACGTAAGCGTGCTGTGAACCGTTGTGTGCCTGCTGTTGGATTGGCCTAGAGAAATTGTAGCTTGCTGGGGAGTGTGTTATAAAAATATGGAAACCCCTGTTTTCTGGGTTCAGCTGTTCTAACATGGAACAATGTGGATCTTTTACACCACCTTGATTCTTTAGGCAGTGTCTAAAAGGGTATATTTTCTTCGTATTTGAGTAGTGTAACACAAGTGTGTTTGTTTCTAGGAACGCTGCTCCATGTAGCTAATGAATTCGCCACTGCTAGTTCAGTAGAAGCAGTAGATTTGCAGCTTTCTTTAGTCTATAAATAAAATCACATTGGTTTATGGTTTTGAGAGTTAACTTGAAGACCCCTGATGTGTCCTGTGTACTCAAGTATCTGATGCTGGTGTTGTACCTGCCCCGCTGGGGATAACTATATTGCCTCTTCATGTTGGCTTTACCATGGTGGTAATAATAATAAATAATAATAAAAAGTCAAATTAAAAAGGTGATATTAGGGAGATGGGCAGATATTCGGTTTTGCTTTCAGAAAGGTGTACCTTTCTCATAGTTTTGCTACTGAACCAAAATATCAATTCAAACTATGGAGAAAAAGCCCTGATCTTTTGAAGATAATCAAGATATGCATGAGAGGTGAACTGGTAATGAAGGCAAATTGTCAGATACTGTTGGCTAATTGTCAGATACCACTGGAGGAAGGTGTATTTTTTGATGATACTTCAAGTTTCGCCAGACTGTAGGGATGAATTCTTTACACGAGATTGCTTTGAGATGGGTGCCATGCAGTGTGAGCTTGGTGGCTGGGTGCTTCTGCTTTCTTTCCAGATGGGTCAGTGTCTTGGGGACAAAAGGGCATTTTGGAATTACGTTCCCAGAGCACATACCTAGATTGCCAGAACTCGTCCTGATGAAATTTTCCTCTTACCTTAAAAGCTTTGCTTTGCAAGGGATGTTAGTTCTAAGGATTTTTTTTTCTGAGTTGCATAGCCTCCTAATTCTTTAATTCGGTTGCAAGGAATTTGGGCTTTTACTATGCCTGCAAAAATTAAGAAGCCTTAATTCTGTAACAAAGGTGTTGTGGCTAAGAGGACTTGTTTGTGAGCAGCAAGGAGTCAGCTGCAAAGGCTGAACCAGACTCTCACAGTGGTGTTTGTGTAGGCCATGTTGTGCTGTGAGTGAGATGTCAGATCTTGATTCAAAATCATGCACTTTCTCATCTGTTGTTTGTATTTAGCTCTTCTTACTTGCAATTTCAGGCAAAGTGTGCATTAAGGGCCTTTATTCAGCATTGTTTTAATAATCAGGAATGGATTCGGATTAGAATAAGACTGAAAGGAACCCTCTAGAGGCACATGGTCATATATATGGGCAAGGAATATTTTAGCTGAGGTGCATTCCAAATGTGTTTTCGGCCATAAGACCGTATTTCTACATACCACGAACAGACTATATCTTATTTATACAAAAGGTGCTGGTAGCTTTACAAAACAGAATATTTTAAGAATAAGAGTGCACTGGAATAGCTAAATCTCTGCACATAATTGCAAGGTTAAATGACAATTGCATGCATTTTCAGATATCTGTGGATTTACTCTATAGTTTAATGTGAAGACAAGACCAGCCAATGAGGAGAAACCTTGTAGTGGAGCTTGAGTGTTAAAGGAACAGTGATTTGAATTTAGACTTATTCTTAAGTTTAAGTGATTTGGGATATAGCTCTGAGATATAAGGAAAAGGTGATGCAAATGTGGATGAATCTATAACGAAAGAGCTTTTTTTGAAACTAATCTTTGTCAAAAATACAATCTTGCTGTTATGAAGTGGTTTCTATTCATACTAGCTTTTCATGTTAATTTGTTGATAAAGAGACCAAATGATTGACCATGGGGTGGAAAGATAAGCAACAAAAAATACTTGTTGTTTGCATATGAATATCTGCTTGCTTTTGAGATTATAGAGCAAATTTTTACAGATGCTACTGGTTTAAAAATTAAACTTCATTGCAGATCTACATCTCCTTACTTTAAAATCTGAACATAGTTGAGAAAACACTTAAAGAGGAATTAACATTTCAGTTGAAGTTACAAACGTAATTTCCATCCTGTCACATTTTGGTGACCTTTTGTGACAGCTTGTCTCTATTGGAGGAGTGCATTCTTACTTGCTGATTAAAGATGTCATTTGAAACCATTTTATTACCAGCGATAGTGAAATTAATCTTGACACTTAGAGACACTAGAAAAATAATTGCTGATTCACTGCATTAACTGTGTGTGAGAACTGTACAGTCAAGATGAGAATAAGTGTGTGCTGGTAAAAATATGTAAAAACATACAGTATTCTCATGAATGTATCTGAGATCTTTTCTAGACATTTCTTTATCCAAGATAATGCAAGTAGTGGTTTTGAAAAGTTTAAAGGAGAGGTGTTGTAGGACAACTATGCAATTGATTTCTAGAGATACTGAGTTTATCATCTTTGATGAGAAATATTTGACTTCTTTCAGTGCGTGTAGTTAAAGTCTTCTCAGAGTTGGAATTGTCATTATGCTCTGGATTTAGTTACCTGTTAAGGAATGTGAAGAAAAATGGCTCATCAAACTAGAGTATTCTCTCTGTACCTAATTTAAAAAACAAAACCAAACTCCACACTTACACAGAGCCATTTGCAAAGTGATAACAAAGGTTATTGGATGTGATAGTACTTTTCGTTACATCCTGCTTAGTTGGCTTATGTTCACTCTGATAACTAGTGGCTGAGACTTCAGGCAAAACTAGGAAATTAAAATGAATGGTTTCACTGTTGTCTTGTTGCAGTGTGTGCAGAAGCTCATAGTGTAATCAGGTTGCAAGTCTGCATAATGGGGAGAAAAAAAGTTAAAGGAAAACATTTGCTTTCTTCCTTAATTTAGTTTGCATATATATGTAAATGCATATGCATATATTTTTTTTTTTTAATAGCTGTTCTGGAATGTGATTTATGTTGTAAATCTCTGCATTATCCAGGATAAAACGGATTCTGGGATTCTCAAACCTGGGGATTTGAAATGCTGTTGCTCTCGGGGAGCCACCCAAGGCAGATGTAGCCGCAGAGACCTGTGCTCAGGGTTGGGGTAGGCAGGAGCCAGTGGCCGTGTGCTGCAGCAGCCTGCGCACGCTGTGCAGGGGGCATGGCAGCATCCAGCCTGGCTCGGTGTGTTTTGGCCACAAAGCACACAAGCGCTTAGCCAGGGAGAAGCGGTGGGCCTTTTCATGTGAATACCTGGCTGTGTTTTGGAAGAGTCTAGGGAGGTAGGGAGTGAAAGAGGATCTCTTCTTCCTCTGCTCGTCACCTCTTTTCTAATTAGCAGTCTGATCTTGCTTTCAGGGAAGACGGGCTATTTTCCATGCTCCCCTCCCTGCAAAACTGTCTTCCACGCTCTCTCCTCTCCTTGATCTCTGTATGTGTGGCACAATGCTCTCAAATTCGATAAACAGCCCACCTAATAACTGAGCTGACTGTATATTGTGCTACGTGGTGACTGACAGCAATATAAAGCACTTGAGGGTATTCATAAGTTTAGTTCACTGCATGAGTCTTCACTTTTGCAGTCTGTCTCTGAGGCTCTGAACCTGCAGTTTTGTATGTAAGCAAAATTCTTCACAGGTGGGACACTGTTGCCTTCAGTGGCGTGTTGTGGGGGAAGTGTGCTTGATGTTAATGTAATCTTCTTTTTTTTAAATCAAATTGGTTATATTGTACTTCATTCATCATAGATGTGGTATGAATGTAATGATGCTTGCTGCAGTGAATGCACAGGGGTTTTTGTTTTGGTTGGGATATCTTTTCCAAGGTCAGCATTACACACAGTTTCACTTTTCTGGCTGAAAAACTGAATACGTGGACTGTGTCTTTAAAGACACAGCCTTTAAAATTTGACAACTTACGTGTGAAGTGAGTAGGAAAACAATTTATTAGTTTTCATTTTAGAGAGAGTGAAAAGTACCTGCACATTGAAGATCATCAGGACTGACTTTGCTCTGGATGCTGTCATCCCTTCCCCAAGCTTAATCAGCACAGCTCTCTGAAGTCATTTTGTTTGGAGCAGCCCATTCTTTCTTCTAAAGTTGTTTGTATTCAGTGTCCTTCAATATGTGCTCAAGAGGCTGAGAGACTCAGACATGATCTGGCCTTGTAGGAAGCCTAGCTCTATTCCTGGGTTCATTAAGAATTGCTTTTCTCACATGTGACTTGTAATCTGTTTAATAGGAAATAGCTTCTTATCATCTTGAACGAATATCAGTGGTAGGTACTTGTTGCAATGACTGAACTTTGTTTTCCAAACTACCTTGCCGAGTTCAGAGCTGTAGTGTGGAAGATGGCAGAAAAATTGCCCTGCCTGTCCTATTCTTGGAAAAAAAGAAGACTTTCCAACTAGCAGCACGCCCAGGACGCCTTGCAGGATTTGGATCCTCTCTGGTTAAAGGGAGGAGAGCTGTTGCTTTGCAATGTAATGGCACCATTTCTTCCCATGAGTATATGGGAGCTAGTGGTCTGTCTTTCCTGCAGACCAACTAAAAGCCCGCATTAGCCCTTTCACACTTGCAAGCTTGTGAAGAAACTGAACTTGCTTCAGGTGTGGACAGGAAGGAGGCTTGAAACCAGAGCTCTATTTTTCTCATTAAACGGGCTTTTTTCATCCCTGACAGCTAAAGATGGATAAGGTGGTTGTTTTAGTTGCATCTAATGCTTTTAATTGCTTTGGATAAGAGTACATTTGTCTTAATTTTTCTCAGAAATCCATAGTGTGCACATTTAATACCATACTAAGACTTGAGGGAGTGTGATTCCTTGCCCCTTTCTAAGCATGCTGTGAGATTTTCCTGATAAAGCCTGATTGTCTTGGGCTCTGCCGATCTCTCGAGGCAGGTGCTAGGGCAAAGGTAGCATTTCGTAAGAATACCTGGTGTGGTTGTAAATTAAGGCTTTATGCCACTTAATTGCAGTGTCAAAGAGGGGAGAGAAAAGGAGGTAGAGAAACTTGTCTCATCACCAACATGCAGAAATGAAATCGGAGACTATATGGCAGATCCTTGGCTTGTAGAAGTCTGTCACGTTTGCTGTGTTCTTAGGCTGTCAGCAAGTTCTAAACTTTTTTCTTAAATCAAAAAGCCCCTGCTTTCTGGAGGTACTAAACGCCTCTGAAAACTGGGCCATGCAAATTTACAGTCTTTGCAGCTCAGTCGTGCAGGTAGTTTTTGTAGCCAAGTAAGAACAATTGCCGCGGTGGGAACGCACGGTCCTCGCCCTTTTCTGCCCTTCTGTCAATCCTCAACCTCAAAGACTAATTGAGATTACTTACGAAGATGTTTAAGGTGGTGGTTTAAGTAGCTTTGGCTATTAGACTCGCAAAAAATTTTAGTAGTTTTCTAATTGCTGTAGTTATGTATTCTTGATGGAGCATATGTAGTGATGTGGAGGCTTTGTAGTAGTGTCTCAGCTGCCAGACACAAACTATTTTTATTCTGGTGTTCAGATATTATAGCCATTACGTGTAGTATTAGCAAGTAAAACCACTTTGTCCTGAAAAGTGGTCCCTGTACCCAGTCTCCTTTAACATTAAAAGCAGGTTTTTTTAAATGGAAAAATGAAATTCTTGCACTAACTGCCATTTATATGAATTCAAAATATGTTTTTATTTGTCAGGAATGTGTTTCTTGTAGAGTAATTTTGCCCTGTTAGAGGCAGAAGTCAATTTTAGAGGGTAACAAGGGATCTGACTGGCACATGGCAAAATCCTCAGCTGCGTGTTTGGGCTAAAGTTTATCCCCTTTACGTAACGGAAACCTGGTGAGTGGCACTGCTCATACTGTCACAGTGTGTTTCCTGAAGTTTGTTGTAGACTTTTTCTAGGTTTCCAAGCAATTTGATTACCTGGGCCTGTTACTGCATGGGTTTTTTTCTCTTAATGTTATCAGCATTGTCCCAGGTTTCAAGCAAATTTGGCAGTCTTCGTTGGGTTCTGTCTGGTGTTTGCCTGTGGTGTGAGCTGAGTGGGTGTTATCAGTGGCTGTGTATTTGACTTGAGCTGAGCACAGATTTTGAAGTGTGCTCTCTCTAAGTGAAATTATCACTTGTGAAGTACAGATGGTTCTTCAACCACGTATAATAGATAAAATATTAAGTAATTACATACTGCAAAAACACTTCATCGACCAGAAAATCCTTATTTGGAACAGGCCAATGTGCAAAAGAGTCTGGCAGATAAAATCCGTTTATACGGAAGACTCAACATATCTTCTACTGTAAAGTTTACTGGGGGTTTCACTGTGCTGCCTGACATTTCTGCAGATAAGTGAGATGTTGTTTAGGATAACACAAATGTGATAGGAGCCACAGCCTTCTCTTACAGCATAAGGCAAACTTCAATAGCATTTCAAAAAAACCAACAAAAAACCCCCCCAAACCTTTTTGTTCATGTTTGTTTCATTTACCTGCTGCTTTTTGACTGTGCAACAGACACAAGTATCCGTGTGCTTTTTCCTTTTAAAGATGTCTTCAATGAAATGTTAACATGCCACCTAAAGGAGATCAAAGTGCCTGCAAAATTTGTTAGTTGCAGAGATGCTTCTATAGTTCTAGCAATGTTTTTTTTCAGATATTTTCCATCTCTTCAGCACGAAGCTAAATATTTTTCCCCATCTCTCTCTTTTAACAGAACTTTCTGCAGAAGCCAAAGCAGCATTACTTGAATTCGAAGAGAGGGAAAGGCAGCTTAAACAGGGACGGTATGGCTCAAGGAGAGGAGGGCGAAGAGGAGGCTCAGTTATGTGCCACGGAATGGGAGAACAAAGGCGAGACAATAATGATAGGGGAAGAATGAAGGATCACAGGCCTGCACTGCTGCCAAACCAGCCATCGACAATGGTACCTTTTAATCCTTAGTATTCTTTGAACATACTTTCAGGAAATTATGGAGAAATGCATTCTGAATCGTGAATCTTTACAAAGGTGGAATATATATTCCAATGTACACTTCTTGATCTTTCAGGGCACTGTTAGGCAAGGTGGGCTTTGCATAACATGGTGATTGTGAAAGTATGTGCTTCGTCCTGTTACCAGCCTCAACTTGAGGAATCTCAGGGCCTCCAAATGAAAAGTGGATTTCGACTCGTACAACGCAATCAGGCTTACCTACTGGTTTGCATAAGGATGGAGCAAAAAGTTAATTCTTCTGAGAAGTCCTTTACATGCAAGATGGAAGCATGTTCAGTCCCACATTATGAATAGTAATTTAGTTTTAAAAAATATGATTCTGTAAAAATATTTCTTGTTTTTTGTCAAACTAATGTTTTTGCTGATACTTATAGAAAAATCTGTGTATATACCTACCATGCTACCATAGAGGCAAAGAAAACCGTAGGACGGTAATCACCACTAGATAAATTAGTATCTTGGGATTTCAGATGAAATTTAGCTTTGTGACTCCCGCGCCACGTTTTGTATCACAAACTATAAGATGTTACTTTTTCCATCCAAAAAAAAACCCCAGCAAGTGTGTGGTCAAGAGGTAGCCCACACTTATTTTTGCAAACTGTCATAAAATGTACTGGAAGCTGAGATTGTAGAACAAAGCCTGTGTATGTCTTTGCAGGACAAGGTCATCTGTATTAAACAAAGGGGATTTTTTCCAACAGCAGTAACTCTAGGTGCTGATCACTAGCAGGAGTCGGTGGATATCTCAGCGGTTGAGAGCTCTGCAGTAGAATATTGCGTGCTTTTAAAACAGCGAAGGTGGAATAGTTTTGTTCTGTATTGTTGCAGTCTTTGCTGGTTATTTTGATCTTAAATGTTGTAAACTTATTGTGCTCATCACAATATCTTCTTCTTGTGCATACTTTGTAGCTGCTTTGCTCTATGTATATGCCTGCTGAAAAAAACGATGTGTCACATCTTTGTTGCTAAAAGGTTGCCTGTTTGGACTCTTCTTGCACTGCCACTTGGAAGTTACTGGGCTAGGACTGATACCTGGTGTCAGTGAGTTCAGAAGCAGAAGAATGTCTCTGAAGAGAAACATGATTTTTTTTTTTTTTAATTATAGCTGATTTTGGCCATTTGTGTTTGAGAGTGTTGAGCAGCAGGAGACTTTCTTCTATGTTATGAAAGGTACCTTTGAAAGGTATCTTTAAAGTAGTTTTTTCTTCAAGCATTATGGATAGGTGGGCTGCACAGATGTCTTAAGGATGTAGCTTAATTTGTATTTGGACTTTTGTTGCTACTGTTAGGTCTGTTTTCTCAGAGAGGCTCTTCTATATGTGAGACGAAAGTTAGTGGATTTGTTTTGATACTAGGACTCAGATTTCTGGTCGTCATCACATATACCTTATAGCAGTTGATGGCAGTTTCCAGTGACATATGCAGAATCCTACATATGAAACTAGGCAGTTTCACTGTTAAAAATAAGTGAATGAATGTCTGCATTCCCTGTGTGCTTCCTTGCTCTTTGCCATCCTCTCCTTCACATGAATGTCTTCAATTGTTCCTTTGCTTTCCTGTGCTGATGGTTCTTAACAGTTCCAGTTGATGATATGGGAAAGAAGTTTTTCTGTTCATATTTGGCCTTAATTGTTCTCCAAAGGTGTCTTGGTTTTGTGCTGCTTTATGTCAGGATATTTTAACTGTAAAGCCTATTGACTTTATTCTTTTGTCTGACTTTAGACTCATTCACAGAGGTTAATTCCAACACACCAGCAACCTGTTAGGAGTCTGTTCCAGCAGCAACAACAGCAACAACAACAACAACAGCAGCAGCAGCAGCAACAGCAGCAGCAGCAGCAGCAGCAACAGTTACAATCTCTGCTTCCTTTACAGCATCAGCATCATTCTTCTCCTCCTCCAGGGCTACATATGCCCCCTCAGATAGAAACACCTAGAATAATGATGACTCCACCTCCAGTGACACCTCAGCAACCGAAGAACATACACATAAATCCGCATTTCAAGGGGACAGTAGTGACGCCTGTACAAGGTGAGCTTTCTCAACACCTTGCAGTCTTGCGAGCATGACTCATCCTATTCTTTGCCAGGGATGCAACAATTTGTTTGTTTATTACTTCATGGAAATGTGCTTCAGGCTGATATTTTTTTCCTTAAGCTTGAAACAAATGTTTTGCCTAAAGTAAGACATAATGTTGACTGTGGCCAGCTGAAATAGTAAAGCCTTTTCAACTTCTTTATCATCTTTGTTACTCTACTGTAAAGCCTGCAAAGAGCAGTAAAAACGGGAACTGAAAACAGAATATGCTTTTTAAAAGTAGCAAACGTCAGTTTTCAAAACTAGGTAAGTACTGCAGTTTATAATTTCCCATGTCATTCCAGCTTCAGCGAAGCATTCACAGAATGACCACCCACCTGTTTCAGTGAGAGTGCACTGAGGCACTCCTTGCACTGTAATTGCTCTGGGAAAGGTAACAGCTGCTATCCTTGCTTGACAAGATACCTGCCCTCAGTTCTCCTTTCAGTGCCACATTTGTGATTGTTTGATTTGCAGCCTGCAAGCACACTTTTTCCCTAACTTAACACAAGCATTCTTTGGGCTACACTTTTTAGGGCAGCTCTCAGCAGAGCTGTTAACATTACAACTTATTTGGGAAGTGTTTAATCCCTAAGAGGATAAATAAAGAGACACCGATACAGCTCTGATTTGTGATTCTGTTCCGACTAGGCAAAGTAAAGAAATACATATATATATTTATACATATTTACCGTTAGGTTTTCTGGTTTTTTTCACCCTTTTAAATCAGCAGAGCTCCAGGCCAGTGCTATCTTTGCTTCATTTATTTGACCAATGAAAGGTAGGAATTTGCAGGGTAGGATATTGCCAGTTGATAGAGATCTATTAGGCTTCTCACAGATGGCTTCATAGTAGCTGCGTTGTAGAGATTATTTCACTTTTTCCTGTCTAATAAAACCAGTGCTTCCCACCAAATTATGCATTAGGACAGATTATCTGGAAGCAGTCCAAAAGGTCCTTTAGTCTTGGATGTATGCCTTCTGTGCATTTTCCTAACATTTCCGAAGCAACAGTTCTTGTATTGTGAAAAGCAAAAATTCTTTAGACTATGCTAGATGCCTCTCCTCTCTCCCCCCATGAAACAGTCAACAAATCTTCTGCATCTAGATGAACAAGTTTCCTCCTAATGCCAGCAATGGCTACTGACGATTTTTGCTTTTGCCTAACGTCAGAAGTATACCAGTGTATCTTCTTTCTTTTGTCTGAGTTTTTTTCGCATTATCAGGTGGCTTCAGGCTTGTCTCAGCCTTACCACATCATCTGTGGCACCGTGAGTATTCCAGGGGCCTTGCTTTATCTTGAGCATCGTCTTTTTTCCTATCTTTACTTTCAGATCCTCATTTTAAGAGTTGTGTACCTCCTGCATGTTAGGAGATCTTCAATATTGGATTTCTAGTCTTTTTTTTTTTTTTTTTTTTTTTTTTTTTTTTTTTTTATTTTTTTTGTAGGCACTGATTGTTCCTTTCCACTTTTTTCCTGTGTGCTCAGTTGTGAAGTGGGTATTTTATATTTGTTTTTTTTTTTTTTTTTTTTTTTTTTTTTTTTTTTTTTTTGATCTTATAACTGCTGACTTTGTGTGCACATTCATTTCTTGACTGGTAAAAGTCTAGTTGTCCTCTTAGAGTGAGCAGCCTTGGAGAATGAGTGATCCATTTTTGAATGGTGTAAGACCTGTATTTCAGTGGGGAAGATCTTTGCTATGCATATTGATGGCAGCTGGTTCATATGAAATACCTGTGTGCCATCCATTTTATTGAAGGAATCCTCAGCAAGACTACTGAATATTTCTGCTAATAGGTGTGCAGCGTACTATTAAATGCAATCTTTTAAATCACTGTAGATTTTTAATCTTCATTAGAGAGCATGTACGGGAAGCTGAGTCTTCTGCAGTGGCTGAGAGTAGTGGCCATCTCAGTCTCAGTCTGCAGCAGTACAGTTATGTTACATGAAAGTATACATTTGCACACCTAAGAAAAATGTGTGGGAAATCAGTAGTCTTCTTCAGGGAAGAGGAGCATAATTTTCGAAAATCTTCAATGGCATTTGCATACTAAGATGAATTTTTAAGCAGTTACTGCAGGCAAACGGTAGACAGAAATTCCAGAGTAGGGAGAGCTGTTCTAAACTTCCTTTTGAAAAGTCCTCCTCGGTTTAATCCATCTGCTTGAGGCCCCAATAGGCAGAGACTGGTGGTTGACAGCGTTAGGATGTGTTTCACATGCAGCATCATTTATTTTAGGGTAACAGGAAGTGTGGAAGATCAGATTGCCTTCACGTTCTTGATGTCCTGCCCGTTCTTGGCTGAATATATTTCCAGATACATGAGGGTTTTTAGACATTGGAGAATACAGTTAGATAGGTGCAAAGTTTATGAGGATTCTGTTGTTGAAACTCTGATGCCTGGAAACTAAAAATGCCATGTCTGGAAGTGCATGATATGCACACTTAGATTCTGGTAATTTTAATGGTGTACTGTCATGTTTTAGTGTAGACTGGCCTTTTTTTCCTCTTTAATTTTATGGCAGGATTAAGCTCACATACTTCTAATTGTCAGCAGCAGGAACACTTTTTCTAACTGCAAATCGTAGAAATATACTTTCTCAACATCTTTTTTTGTTTGAGTTAGTCTTAAAATGCATCAAGTATATCAATATTTTCTAAAATAGACTCAAACCTCCTGTAAATTTTTACGAAATTTTCACGTGAATAAAATAACGTGTACAAGAGCTCTAGTAGCCAGCTACTTCCACCTGAAAGTGAGTTGAAGAATCCTGTCATTGGCTTATTCCTTTGATGTCTCAAAGGCAAATCTCTTGCAGTGGCCACCATCTCCCTGCCCAGCCTTGAATCTTGGTTCAGAAAAATAGTTACTTTCAAGTCAGTTTTGTTTCAAACAAATTTCTACTATTTATAGTCTTAGAAGCTTCATAAGTGATTAAGAAGGACTCAGTCTGTCAAAACCCCTAAAACGGTTATGTGAGCCTCTGCACATACCTGCTGTAGATACTGTTCAGTTGGTGTTCAGCTGTGCATTTTGTGGCATTTGAATCTCATGTCTTTTAGTTGCTTGTCATATAGTTTTCTCTTCTCTTTGTGTTCTATTCTGTAAATTAGTTTTGAGTTATAAGTAGTAATTTTTGGCTGAATACATGTCCAAATCTGAGTGCAATCAATTTACAAATGCTGGAGGACTGTACACGGATGTACTATGAAATACTAATTCAACCTGTGATAATAGGTATTGAGTTTTTTTCCCCTTAGTTATTTGTGGTATAAATATTATTTCAAGGATACTGTGGTGCTGCCAAAATTGACATGAACTAATGAGCAGTTTATGGCAGCTCAGTAGATTAGTATGTCATTTACCTTTTAAAAGCTGTTTGGTATCATGGGAAAAATTACATTATAATTCTCTTAAATAATCAATATGGGAATTGCTGCTTCATCTTTTCAGGTATAGCATTGGAGTTTACAGCCAAAAGCAATATAATCTTCTTAAAGCAGTGTCTAACAACATGCTGCATATTATTTTTGAAACATACTTTTTCAAACCTATGGAAGATTTGACATCAGGAAAATTAATGTTTTTTTGAGTCCTCTTTGCTGCTTCAGCAAGTGTCCAAGGATTGAAAGGGCACAGAGTTTGAACTACTATCTTTCATGAGTATTAAATTAATTTGCTTAAAATATATAAATATATATCTCTGTATGCTACTGCCAGAGGCAGGATACTGAAATAGACACGAGTGCCCTGTTCAGTTGACATTTCTCTACGTTTCCCACCTTATGCGATTTTTCTCAGTGCCTCTCTGACCTGTAATACCTGAACTGTTTTAGTCCTAGGTCTGTCAAGAGCACCCTGTCAGTTTTTTTCCAGGTGGCCATGGCTGTTTGATATCGACAGATGTTCATTAGAAGCCAAGATAAGACTATTCGACTAATTTTCTCATGTAACCTGATACAAAGTTTGCACACGGTCTGGTCTTTCGGCGCTGAAAGACTGGTGCGATTAGTTTACCCTGTCAGTCCCTGAACTAGTAAACCACAAGTACTCAACAAAAGTGGATAAAAACCAGACATACACATGAACTAAAAATAACCACTAATGCATTAGTTCTTGTGCCTCAGTTACCAAGGAAAAAGGGATTTCTGAGGCATCTTACCAAACTTTCTGTTGGGAAATGCAGCTAGTTTAAGGGAGGAGTTGGGTAACAACATCTTTCCTGCTCTGAAGTGTAATACAGTAGTTGTCTACAAAGGCGATGTTTAGCCCTGTCACTTTCAGAAATGCTGAAAACAAATTGAAGAAAAATAAACTTACTGAAAGTTTTTAATCAATGAGCAAACAAGTTCAGTGCTGTTTGATTGAAATGTTTTATTTAACTTATCTAGGCCTTCTGTTTAACATTGAAAATTTGTGCTTTTAACACTTAGACAACTCAATGAGGAAAAAAACTGCACTGGAAAATGGGAAGTCTGTCATTACACTTTGTACTGGGGATTCAAATAGATATTTGGTCCCCAAAGTTATCCAGCAGTAGATACTTTATGCATTATGCCATAATACTAAGTGAATGTTTTGGGAAATTTTTTTGTGACTAGTCTTTCAAAATGCAGTTGTATAGACAAGTCATCCAGGTTAATGCCCCTGAAATCCTAATTATGGAGGTTATTTTTCAGGAAGAGGTTCTCGTATTTCCTCTTGGTGTCTCCTTATGAAATAGCAGTCTTTCATCTGAGATCAGCACAGTGATCACAGTTGTGTGTACCATTACAGTGGCAAGGCCCGATGAAGCAGTTTTTGCTTACTGTTAATTGCCACTGTCTGCCTCATTTTACCCTCCTGTGAACAGTGATTTATACCAGATAGAGCCTCTCATGCCCATGCTTGTTGTGGGAGGTTGGTGGTGAGACTGGGAGATACTTAAGAAATCCTGAGGGGCATGAAGTTGAGAAGACAAATTAACGATGTATCCTTCCATTTGAAACATGAAATTATTGTTAAGAGTCTCTGTCAGCTTTGGCTAAGAGATGTCTTTGGCTGAATAAGTATTCTAGTTTTCCTTCCTGCAACAAGGAGCAATTTAATTCTGGAAAATGCAGAATTGAATTATGTAAATTAACTAGGAGAATCCTAATTGCCCTGTTGCATGTTGCGGGGGAGGGAATGGTTGCTTAAAGTTAATTGTAGGAACTCTGACATGTGAGGGTAAATTTTTAATCATGGCTTCTTACTGCAATGGCTTTTGGAAATAACAGCAACAACTGTTAGGTAAAACAAATGGTGTTAAAAGGCGCTTCTTGTTTCAGTGCCCTTGCTGCCAGTTCCAGCCCAGCCAAGACCTGCTGTAGGACCCCAGAGATTTCCTGTGAGTAGCAGCTGTTTCTTCTTCTCTGATATGGATAAGCATACATTTGCAAGGAAATATTAATATAGCAAATAAAAGCTGTTCTAGTGAAATATAATTTTAAGGATTTGTAAATATTGACAATACACTCTGCAGTTGAAAATGTTTGTTAAAAGCTTAAGGTCAATGGATTTTTGAGAGTAGAATTAATTCTGTTTAACTGTAAAATTGTTGAACCAGTCTCTCCAGTGGGAGAGGCATGAATGCATCTTGTCTTAAGGAATATGGGCTTCGTTTTATTACTTGACTCCTTCTGTATAAATAGAATCCTTATTTTATTTGATATAATAAAAGAATATTTGAAATAATCCCTAAGCTTAAAAAGCAGTGTATATATATATATTTTTATTGCAAAAATCAGCAAAATTTCATTTTTATCATTACTTCAGACATTTAAATGCCCTCATATTTTTATGTAAAAAATGGGAATGGCATTGCATGACCTTGCTTTCTCATATGTTTCTAACTTCCAAAACAAACAAGGCACATAGCTGCTTCACTAGGCTAATTTCACTTGATAATTTTTTTTAGTTCTGTGAATGGGCAGAGTACATACTTCTAGACCTTTTCTCATAATTTCATAATTTTGTTGTCCTAAATTTTTAGTTCACGTGGTTTGCAGAGTATTAAAATAAGCAAAAGAGTAAATAGTTCATGCAGTATTGCCTTAAATATTTTCAAATAAAGACTCATGTATTATGTATCCCAAATATATAAAAAACACAAAAAATTATCCTCTGTTAATGTGTGCAGTGTTGAAGGAAGAAAGTAGATGTTTATATCACACAGTGAATTACTTGCATAAAGATCAGATATATTTGAAAGAAGCAGGTTTCAGAAACCTGCTGTGACTTTTCATTGCTAGGTACATACCTGGTTGTTTTTGACGCAGAATATTTTTTGTACAGGACATCTAGCTGAGGAATTCTGATGTCCGTATTTTGTACAGTAGCTGAGTTTTTAAATTGCCGTGTTTCTTCTGTGCAGTATAAAAAGGTTAAGCAGTAAAACCACAGTTTCATTAAGTAAATTCATGTTATATCATTTAATCATCAACAATTTAACCAGAGGTATTTTTCTATTAAAAAATACTGCGGTTTTCAGAGGAAATAGTTTTCTTCAGCAGCTTTCAGCATTATGTGAAGACCTTATTACCATTTTAAAAGTAATGCTAATTGTTTTTTATGAAAACAAGTATCTTGCATTTGTTTTCCTTTAACACTAAGTTGCTTTGCCAATAAACACAATTTGGGATGGAAAAGAAATTGGAGGAATGTCTGTAAAGGCATTGTAATTGACATCTTTGAAGTGTGTTTACATCGGTGTAGAGAAATTGGAAATTAATTTTTTTTGTAAATTGACTGTGAAATTAAATTTTAATTCTGTTCACTTTTGGTTTTGCAAGTTGAGAAGTACTGCAAGCCTAGTTAATCTTGCATGCAACAGTTTTTAAAAGGGAATAAAATAGATTGAACATTCTTGGTAGGACTCTTGCTCCTTTTGCCTGAAGGAAAATACTTGACTGCTTGCTGCCTTTTTATGTAAACAACACACTAGCAAAGAGTCAGTGTAATTTTTTTTTTTCTCAAAGAGGAGGAGGGCTAGCTTAACTAAGAGGATCTAGTACTGTGGTTTGGTTGCCCTGAGTGTTGGTGGTTTTTTTTTCCCCTACTTCAGCTAGTAACCTGCTATATGACCCTGAGAAAGTTACTTAATCTTTCCATGACTCACTGAGTTAAAAAATGGGTATAATATGGACTTCCCTTATGAAGTACTTCATAAATTTTGCATAGGTTATCAGTCATATTAAGATTAAGAATTAAGTGTCACTGTGTACATATCTCATGTTTGTTTTATTGAATGTAGTATGTTAGCTCTTGAGCTGAAGACAAATTTGCTTTGACTTGAACGCTTTATCTTGTAGAACTACCTTTTTTGCTCTGTCACATGTCAAATGCCTTTGTGGCATTATAATTCACTTGTTTATGTATAAATGTTGACTTATAGCAATATAGCAATGGTTAGACAACTTTGACAAGCCATTTGAAAAAGATCAAAGAAGTATTCCAGATTATAGTTCATTCATCCTTTTCCTCATTGTAGAAAGAATATCTGTATATGTAATAACTTGAAGTTGCTCTTGTTTTTAGGATTGCCTAATCAAAGGGTAATAGTCAACTCATTTTTCTGATTGCTTTGTTTCTAAAAAACTGTGGGGTTAGAATTAAATATTTGTAGCCTGCTTTCCCCTTTAACTTTGAACTGGATGGTTTATTTTGATTGAATGTGGCAGAGGTGGAAACATTAAAGGTAATGAAATTCTTGCAAGGGAGAGACTGAAAAGTGGCTAGGGCCCTAACTGAAGGAAAAATTGCCTCTGAGTTCCTGTCTTATCCAGGAGAGAAACCTCTCAGCACAGAGGGCTTGTGTGTGCTCCGAACATGGGAAGAGCTTCAATCAGAGCTAATCAATTGCAAGTCGTAAATCCATTGGAAACCAGGTGTTATTAATTTAGTGCTAATGAAGTGACTTGTAACCATGTAACGGTTAATTCTTACAGCCTTTTGCAGAAGGATGTAATTGAAGAGTTGAACAAAGTTGTAATGAGCATGTTCACATATTGGTGTGAGTTCTAAATTATAGGAAAATAATGTAGTACTAAATCAGGGTAATGTTGATCAGGATTGAACCTGCTTGGAGTTGGGACTGATTAAATTCACTTAACCTTGAATCTAAATTTTAATATTTCAGGATAGGACTCATTCTTCAATTGTTTCTTACTTAAAGCTTAACTCCTGAAGCGTTTAGAGAGGAAGTATTAGAAAGGACATAATGGAATGAAGCTGTGTTCCCTACTTAAGAGTTATTTTAACATTTACAGTAATCTTGAATCAAGCAAGGAAGTTGTCTATCTCTTACTCTGTAAGCATTCAAGGTGACTTAGTGTGAATGATGTTTGAGAGCTATATTTAACTGATTAGGACTGAATAAATGGAGGCATGTTACAGCTGAGAAACCTGGTGAACTTGTGGTAACTGGGAGTTAAAGACGAGTTCTGCGAAGGCTTCTGTGCTTGTCTGAATTGCACAGTACTCTTCAGGTGGCTGTAGGTGATAGTAATCCAATCTTCAAGCATAATCGATGCTAATATTTTTCCAGGTGCTTGAATTAACCTGGAACTGTGCAAGTGCCAACTGTGTGTTTTCTTTAAACTGTTTGAAGAACAGATTAAGCTGACCTCTGGCAAAGTCCTTCTGAAGGTCTTGCTTTATCATCTGCCTTTGCTTTTAAGTGGTTAAGATGCCTTTTTCCGAGTTCCCGTCTGTGTTGCAGTTGGTATTTCACAAATAACAGTCTACTTTGGGGACTGAAGGGAAGGTTACAGTAGACTTTATTCATAAACTAGTTGTATGGGTCTTCTGAACTTTTCACATGTTTTCTGATCAAATTATTAATTCTTGCAGATGCCCCAGTGCAGGTACGGAGCCTGTGGTTTTTCTTGTTACACAAGGGGGACCATCATGGTTCCTGTCCTCTGGTGTTTGTTATCTGGGCTAATTTCTCTTTCAACTTCTGTGTTCTGTGAAGAAGAATGGGGTAAAACAAGGGAAGAAGAAATTAAATAGAAAATGGAAGAGGTGTTTCTGAACACTTTGTATGTCGGCTGCTGCTAACTGACTATTACAGAGGCCAGATCGTTACTTAATATGAACCTAGGAGCTAAGTTGATGGTCCAGATCTTTTCATCCCTTATGTGAGTCCCCCAGCACATTCTGCATCTGAAATGTTTCGGTGTTTGCCTGAAGAAAAATTTATGAAGAATTTTTGCTTCAAACATAATTTATTTAACTTAATGAACACTGAAGTAATACTCATATGTGGCACGTGTGCCATTTTTTTAAGGACATATAAAAGGGGAACGAGTGTCATGCCTGCTTTGGGATAGAGCATGGTAGAGAGAAGGTGTTTTCACTGTCAACATGCTTCAGGCAGAAATTGTGAGGTATCCCTAGCATCCAAATTTGGGGCTGGAGTGGGACATTTGAAGTGAAGAGGAAGCTGGGGAGAAGCTGCCTCACACTGCTCAAGGCAGAAGAGAGGAATTCTTCAGATCTGAGGCCATTTCCCCCCTCTGTCTCTGCCCTGGATCCTCCTCTGAAACTGCTGCAGAGAGAGGAGAGCCTGTTAATGCAGCTCTGCATCTTTATCCAGGAGAATTTTCAGGAAATTGGGATAAATTCCACTTCAGCTTCTGTCTTTAACCTGACACCCTGGGTGTAGCGCAAGCTGGGCAAGTGTCCATCTCACAGACACATTTTATTACTGGAGTCAACTTGAGTTTCAGAGCTGCAGTTAGGAGTAGTCTGCAGTGGCACGAAGCACAAGATGAGCTGGCACTAGCGTCTGCCTGACTCACTTATGCCAGGAAGGCTTTGATGCTTTTTAACACACACAGCTTTTCTCCTCTGACAGGACACCTTTGTGCACCGGGTACCTTTCAGGTAACTGTGGAATTCAAGTCTGAAAAAGTTGAATTGTATAACATGAATTATGTTTTATTCAGTATAAAAATAAGACTTTAATAGAGCAACTTGTCCTCGGGCCCTTGAATATTCTACATTGCATGTCTTTTCAGTTCCCAGGGGGTTTTGATATGGTTTGGGTTTGGAACTTACCTTACAGTTTCCTTTCAAAATCATCTTTTTCCCAAAAGAATGCTTGATTCTTTTTTTCCCCTTAAGCTGCAAAAACCTTAGTAAACTTCCTTTATATTCCATTCAACGTCCTTCCACTTGATTTCCAGGACGTCAGGTGTTATCTTAAATGGATGCTGTGAAAGGCAGTTGATGAGTCTTGATTCAGTTTTTTCACCATTTCTGAAAGCTCTCGTTTGACGAATTCTGAGCTTTCAAGTGCTGTTTGAAATTCATATGCTGCTTTTAAATGCTTCTTTATGCTTA